GTTTCGGCCTTCTGGGCCTCATCAGTGCAGTGCTGAAGACTGGGATGGAGGCTAAGCTTAAAAAGCCGCCATTACATATATATTTATAGTAGTGTATGATGGGAACAGAAATCGAAACAACAAAGAAATGAGTGAAAATGTGTTCAGCCGGGAATCGAACCCGGGTCTGAACACATTTTCACTTATTTCTTTGTTGTTTCGATTTCTGTTCCCATCATACACTAATATTAAATATTTGTCAGAAATCACTGTGAATCGCCTTCCGAAGGGAATAGGTTGGTGATCCAAAGATAAAATGATGCAGTTAGTTGTAATTATTTCCCTGCTCATCCTATTCAATTATTGTATATTTATTTATTTATATATATATTTGTTTGTTTCACAAGTAATATGTTAACAGTACCCCAGTACTGATATTCTGGAAAAACACAAACAGCTGACATTTATGCTAAAAGTGACAACTATAATACCTGCGTAATAACAAGCATATCTGGCCACAAAGCTTTGCTTTGTGAGCAAGAATTTATTTTAGAACATCTTATTCCGCGGGGCAACTGATCAGCCGACAGTTCTTCGACAGAAATTAAACACTTTAATGTTTAACTATATTTCAATAACCTGAAAATAGACATGACGTTTTCAGTACACGAAGACGAAAGCAGTTGTGCCGCTAAAAGCGGCATCTAGGAAGAATGGCAATAAACACTGAAAGATCGTTTTATTTTCAGTCAGTCCATGATCTCAAAAGAGTGCTTATTAAAATAGTACTTAATTCGATCTGACTTGTGCTGAGATGCATTCCTTTATTATTCGTTTTGATATTTTGAACGAACAGAAGTGACATTAATTGATTATGAACTTCTTGCTAATGGTGTGATGAGATCACGCACACTTTTCGTTCGGCATGTTTCTACGAAATTTGAAGACGCGCACTTCATAAAAATGCATATATGGCCGCTCCCGTTACCATTTTTAACTTTTCCCGGAAAAATTAAATCCCAGTTTTGAATTTCCCGGAAATTCATTGCTTGTTCAACGTTCATTTGAAATGAATTGAGAAGCCAAAATGCGCTTTATGAAATAGCAATATAAGATGCGAAGTTTATATGAAATAATTCATATACGAACTGCGGTTGTAGATGAAAGTGAATTTACTGCGATGATCATTCTTCACTTTCAGAAATATAAGAACAAGATTATACTAATATCGGGACAAATAAACATATCGGCTTATTTCTTCTAGACCTAAAGATGACGTGATCAGGTCAAATTTGAACGAGGAAGGTATTCATTCGAAAAAGAGTTTTCATTATCTTAATTAACTATTAACAGCTCATCGGGGGAGCCGTTAGGAATTCTGAGAATCTATGCCCCGATGAGAGCTAATAGTTAATAACGATAATGAAAACTTGAGACGTAATCGGTGCGTCATTTTTACGAAGCGGTAGATAAGATGATATTTGAGAACGTAAACCGCCTTCGCTTCTATTCAAATCCCTTCTGAACGGTTCAAAGAGACACAGGAGCACAGGAATATAACAGTTTATTCATAGTCCCGGAAGTAAAATTATTTAAAGTTCCTGACGTCTACATGTACACGTGGTCACGAGTCGATGAAAGCCATTGTTCGCTACAGATCAAGTCTGCACAAGTTAGTCACGCGATCAAATAAATGGTCACGAGTTTGACCCGAGTGTAATTAATTCTTAGTTGTAAAAGAAACCTTCAAACGTTTTCCTTATCAGTAGGAAATCGTTCAACTTCAGACCATTTCCGTCTCCGCGCCTGCTCACTGCATTTACAACCCTTTGCAGCGTTAATATCCACGAGAAAGTAAGTTCGAATTTTGTCGCAAGGAATCAGAATCTTCTAACGATTCTTGTAAAATTAAGGCAACAGCTTATGATCGTAACTTCTATTGGCCTCACCTCTAACTTTGTTGAATTTTGATAGTCAAGGGATGAGTTTCCTTGAGGACCACCGTTCGAGAAGACATGGATTTGTTCCGCGGAATTTCTGATCAAGCGTAGTGTTGACTATAAATGTTTCCTGACTGGTAATTACGGACAAAATAGACTGCGAGCAGTCTCTCTTTTCCTCGAAAACCGTGGGTTTAATTTTGACATGAGAGAAAACTGTTGTTCGAGGAGTCTTTCTGTTTACTGTATACACTGCAAGTGTTCTGATTACTCTGCATAAGCTGTGTTCACTATAAATGTTCCTTCTATTTTAATTACCAACACAGTTAACTATACCGTTTTCTGTTGCAGTTCACTCATGGCTGTGAAGTTTCAGCTGTGCTTGTTGCTGTTGATTACTTTGATGGACACTGCGTACGCTGGGAAGAACCCATTTTCAAGTAGGTACTCACGTAAGATTCGTGTAGCAGACCAGAGAATAAAGACTTCTTTCAAACAAAAAAATTGTTACCTGTCCAGAGAGTTTATACAGTTGTTTGAAAACTTTAAGCTGAGGAGCTAAGCCACATGCATTGCGAGTAGCTCAATTGCATATTTTATTAATGTTTATGGGTTCAAATCCCTTAGAACCCCTGAGCTTTTCTTGCGGCTACTTTGTAATGTCGTCAAATGCAAATGCTGTGATGCTTATTTCTTCAATGTTGTCTGATTTAGTAACAAATTCACTTGAACAGGTCTTTCAAGGTGTGACTGGCCAAAAGGAGTCTGCGTATATTATAGAGATTCTTGTCCACCAGACATACCGCACCCATGCCCAGGATATTACTGTCCTCTGTCCACAAACAAATGCTGCTGCCGACAACCAGTACCTCCACGTAAGAACGTATAACATATAGTAATAAAAGCACTTCAAGCGAAAATATTACTGTAATTTTGAAACTCCCAGCTGCAGATTCCAAACAGGCAAGTCGTAATGTTCCCACATAAGGGAAAGAAAAAATACAAGGAGAGTGAGCGGTAATTTTTTGCTTTTTTATGATCACTCCTGATATTACCGCACAGCTACTGAAAAATGCCTTTACATGCTCAGCATTTGTTTAACTTGTTTGTTATTTGGACACCACAAAGGTATATTGGACAGATCTCTTTATTGAAAGCACAAAATCATATTCTCTTCTTATATACAAGACTTGATTATAATAACCACGCCAAGCGCTTTTTCCTCTGACACTTTTAAAGTCGATATCTGAGTATCCACAAATCAAGAGCTGCGCAAGAGACTGAGATATTGTGTTGATGTTGTTTTAAGTCTGTTACGATGATTTATGAACAGACAGAACCCTTCGGATGGCACATATTTTATGTAGTGTTGGGTCCATAGTAAGCGCTTTTCAAAAGTTTGGTTTAAATCCCGTTTATGCATCGCATCTTTTGTTCAGGCTTGATTATTACGAACGGAAGCACGCCGCTCATATATATCGTGATCGTATTTCATGTTGCTGACTAGTTCACTTTTACAGCACCACCTCCCGACCGATGTGACTGGCCATATGGTGTCTGCGCATATATTGACGATCCTTGCCCACCAGATATACCTTATGACTGCCGCAAAAAGTATTACTGCCCAATTACGACAAACAAATGTTGCTGCCGGTAAGAATCTAGCTAAGCATCAATGTACTGGTTAGGTTCATGAAAAAAACAAATAAATAAATAAATAAATAAATAAATAAACAAAAAAATGAAAAACAAGCTCCTCTAATCGCGTTTTAATAATTTGCAATGCGAGTGATAACTCGTCAAAAGAGCTGGCAAAGCTGTGTTAGAATTTACAATATCATTGGGCAGATATTACTGGCCTCACAAGCTGGATCCCTGGAAGACAAAGATATATACTGAGGGCAATATTTACTTCGCATAAAATGGGGTTTTACAGCCGAATACGAGTACATTTAACATGGATCATGTAGATGCACGAGGCTTCGACATTTGTCGAATATTAGGTAAAAAAACAAACAAACAAAAAAAAAAAACGAGGAAAATGTCAGTGGAGCTAGATCGATCATTCTATTTGCGGTAAATGTGACGAACGTTTCAAATCACAGATGGAATATCCAGACAGTACAAATTAATAATGATTGTTTTGATGCTCATTATTTTGTAGGAGTCCATGATACGAGCTGATGATGACTCGCCAAACACTGCTGCTTCCGAAAAAAAAAAAAAAGAAAGAAAATCGATGAAAACACAATAGTTGACAATGGACTTAATTATTTCCCTTAAGAAGCATAATGAAAGAAATTGAAGGCAAGATACCACGATCTCTTGTCTCTTGTCCACGGTTAATGTTCAAAGTTTAATGTTATTTCCTATCAACCGAGGATAAGTCTTTGTGGGAGAATTAACTTGACGGAGCTCGTGAGTACAGAGCAAACGCATTGTACACAGGCCGAGTCAAGGCTTTCCCATACAGACCGACCAAGCTTGATTAATAATTTGTTTGCTACAATCAAACAGTATGGCTCTTCAAAAAACGCTTAAAGTAGTGTAACGTAGCCACTTTTTTCGTCAATACTTGCTGCCATTTTGCTTGCAAATGGCGATGAAAAAGGTAGAGATTAGAAAGTCAGGTTTAAGAATGACAGCATTTCGTACAGGTGTTTCAGTCGCTCTTAGTGCTGTATTGAGTAATTTTAATTGCAATGGAAACGGTGGAATAAAAGCTATTACAGCAGAGACTCAGTTGCAATTTCATGGTTCAAGTTCTTTTAACACACAAATGATATCATCTTAATGTTAGTTTTGAGACTTTGTGACAGGATAATGCTGGACAACGAACTGTGACACCTTTCGATAAGCATTCTCAATTTTTCAGTGGAACCCTAATTCCTAATCTAGGACCTGTTTACATGGAAGGAGGTTGTCCAGTCTAACAGAGCTATCCTGGGAGAGCCAACCTTTCATACGGTTCTTTAGTTGACGCATTCAGGTGTTCACATTTTAGACAGCGTAACCAGCGTTTCCGGGGCACCCTGTCTAGTTGCCTGAGGTACCCTTCCAGGAGGGCTATCCTTTTGTCATGTGAATTAAACGGTTCGTGTTAGGTTGACTAGACTAGCTAGCCGAGGTGAGAGGACCGCGAAAACATT